AACATTATCTTACAGGTAGAGAGAGTTAAGTTGTGTTTAAAATCGTCAATGTAATGCACGTTAACGGTTTTGTGTTGAACATGAAGTTAGCTTTACTGTAGCTCACCAAAGGTTAGCATGTTAAAGAGCAACTTGCAGGTTAGTGACACCTGTGAATAAATGTGTAGGAAAATGATGAATACACTAGATTTTCAAAAAAATATACAGAAATATACACTACAGTGACATCTGGCGTCGTTTTTGTAAGACATTTTTACTTCCGCATACAAAAAGCCTTCCCACGTGACCTCCCGCGTGTGACGTAACAAGGGGGAGAGCGGCCGGTCTAACGTATGAATAAACATGGATCACAATGCTAGTTTTGACACAGAAGAGGTTGAAAATATATATATTCGAATGCATATGATTATAATTATGAGCCTGCTAGGCGTCCAAGAGACCAGGAGCAGCCAAGTATTAGAAAAAATAACGGCCATCAGAGAGAAATGGAGCTTTGGTGTGTGGAGAACCAGTGGAGAACAGAGCAGCTGTCTTGGTGAGTGACCGGCTTTAGCATGTTAGCTAACGTCAGTCACATCACAACATTGTAAAGTTAGCAATCATATATCAGGCTATAACTAAAGTAGTATTGATAATATAGTAACGTTACTGGCAGGACTGTTGATACTGATCCATAACTGAAACTAATTCGCAAGTATCAGCCGTATCTCGCGTTACCTAATGCAACTCCACACTACGGTGCTGACCGGAGGGGAGACGTGAGATACGGCTGATACTTGACTATCTGGCGGAGAAAGGTTGTGGAGCCTCCGTTGATATGCCGTTGTAAATGGCTTGATGGAAAGCAGGTGTGTAGTCGGGGAGGGTGCACAGCTGATTGCAGCAGGTGAGTGGGAAACTGTGGACTCGATGCCCTGACACAAGCTCACCATGATTACAAATGGTGAAATGCAATGTAAAATTACCGAAAAAATACCAGCTCACTAAATCACAACCGCTCAAACCAACTACAAACTACTACCGCGGATTGGGCAGAGAACGAGTCCGAGAAAGTTAACTCCCCCATGTGACGTAATATGACGCGTTTGACGTATGAAGATAAAAAAAAAGCAGTTTTTAGTAGCAGAGCTCAAAACGGCTCCTTTTCCTCTGAATTCCTGCCCTTATGTCTTGTAAAACATATCAAATCCTGCATTAACATTTTTAATTGTAGTTTTCAGGCAAGGTTAAGCATAAATGTAGTAAAAAAAAAACCTGCAAGTTGCTCGTTAATAACATTTGTTGAGAACAATTAGTTGAAATGATAGCTCAATTACTTTTGTTTTTGTTCAAGAAGGCATGTTGCAAAAGATTGTAAAAAAAATGCACTTAATGAATGTCTCTCTCTCTGTATTTCTGTTGCTTTAGAACCAGAGAGGACTCAGACTTCACAGCTGTGACCTGTGTGATAAACCCTTCAAATCCTCTAGGAACTTAAAGGTTCATCACAGAATTCATACTGGAGAAAAACCTTACAGCTGTGACCTGTGTGAGAAAACTTTTTCTACAGGTGGACAATTAAAAGTCCATCAACGCATCCATACTGGAGAAAAACCGTACAGCTGTGACCTGTGCGGTAAAACGTTTTCTCAATGTGGTGCCCTCATTGTCCACCGACGCGTCCATACTGACGAGAAACCGTACAGCTGTGACCTGTGTGATAAATCCTTCAAATCCTCTGGGAACTTAAAGGTTCATCACAGAGTTCATACTGGAGAAAAACTGTACAGCTGTGACCTCTGTGGGAAAACGTTTTCTACAGGTAGACAATTAAAAGTCCACCAACGAATCCATACTGGAGTTCATACTGGAGACAAACCTTACAGCTGTGACCTGTGTGGGAAAACGTTCAATAATGGAACTGAACTGAAGTCCCATTATCGTATTCACACTAGAGAGAAACCATATAGCTGTGACCAATGTGGGAAAGCCTTTTCTAACAAAAGTAACCTTTCATCTCATCAGCGCATTCATACTGGAGAGAAACCATACAGCTGTGACCACTGTGGGAAAACATTTTCTAACAAAAGCAACTTTTCGTCTCATCAGCGAAGCCACACTGGAGAGAAACCACACGGCTGTGATGAGTGTGGGAAAACGTTCACTACATCAAGTATGCTCATTATCCATCATCGTATTCACACGGGAGAAAAACCTTACTGGTGTCAAGAGTGTGGGGAAATGTTCACTTCATCAAGTAAACTCACAATCCATCATCGTATTCACACTGGAGAGAAACCATACAGCTGTGGAGAGTGTGGAAAAACGTACAATACATCAAGTCAACTCAAAGTCCATAATCGTGTGCATACGGGAGAGAAACCGCACAGCTGTGACGAGTGTGGGAAAATGTTTTCTCGTCGTTGTGAGCTTAAAGTCCACCAGCGCATCCACACTGGAGAGAAACCATACAGCTATGACCAGTGTTATAAGTAATTAGGCTTGTTTGAGACAAGCTGCAGCTCCCCTCGAAAGTAGATGAGAATAGCCGATCGCAGCCGGGGGAGGTCTCAAATAGCTCGCCTGAAGTCGGACAGCTCGGAGTCGGCTTCTTCTTCTCTCGGTTTTTTGGCAGATTGCAAACAACTTTAAGGTGCATACCGCCACCTCCGGAGTCGGCTTGACTCGGTTTGCATTTATAAAGACTGCACAAATGTGTTAAATCGTTAATGTCAGATATATAATAAGTAAATACATTTGTTCCTGTTCAAGGTTAGATTCAACTTTATTGTTATTGCACATATTACAGGTACTGAGACACCGAAATGCAGTTTAGCTTCTAACCAGGATTGCAACAAGTAGTAACATTAAGAGTAAAATTAATTGAATGGTTAATAAACAGGGGTATGAATACACGAGATATACACAGCAGCCTGTGGGCAGTATGAACAGTGTGTATGAATATGC